GTCCTCGGCGGCGGCATCGCGGCTTGGCGCCATCGCCGTGCCCTGCGTCAACGTCACGATCAGCTTCACGGATCGCCGTCTTCACGGTACACACGCACACATTTCTGAAATCCACGGTCAACAGTTTGGTGTACGCGCTGACTACTGAATCATGAGACATGCGTGTGGTTGTGCTTGTGCAGAGGTTGGTCGAAGAGGGCTGGAGTTCATGCCGTTCCTGTTGTCCCTGTTCGTGTTCCTCTTCGGCACCTCCTAGTTCATCTTCGACCTCATCCTGGTGAGATTTCCATCCAACCCTCCCCGTCCCCATGGTGCTCTTTCTAGTTAGTACTCGTCCGAGAGAGTTGCTTGGAGTAACTATACTCAAGATGTAGTCGCAATAAGATTAGTTGCTTGGAGTATTTAACAAGACTGAACAAGATTTAACTTGTCAAGATTTAACAATATTTCTTAGTAAAGCTGAGTAGAGTATATATTCTGAACATGAAAGCATAAATATTCTCAGCATAAGTACATGATTAGGAGTATCATGCTTCTGAATATCTCCAAGCTGGATATTTCCATTAAACATGTTTCTGAATACCTCCCATATATATATTTCCGTTAGTCTGCTTAGTGCATCATTAAGATTATAAGCATCATTTTCATTGAATCCTGGTTACATATTTGTGTGTAATCAAGTTGAAAATGGGACTTGGAATAATATGCAAGTTTCATCTTTTCTATTGCAGCGAGTGGGTCGGTTATGCACTGGCAGCATCCTTGCTACTAGCGGTGGGCGCGATGGTCCGGGCCAAGCAGAGAAAGATAGGTGAGATATGCTCAGAGGTGATCATCGACAAGTCCTCGGACAAGATGACGATGGAGAGTATAGTGGAGGCACAACACATCATGGAGAAGGTGCACGAGTACGTCAAGACGACGAACGTCGTGATCCTCAGGCTATGGTCCATTATTCTAGCCCGGTCACCAAAGGTATATATCATTGCACACTAGTCTTGATCATTGACCATCCTTTGTGTAATGTTGGGGTACCGTCCGTCACATATGGTTCTGGACTATAATGTTTTGTGTATTGTTCATTGTCCTGATCATTGTTTCAGTTAAATTCAGTCCAAATTCAGTCCAGGAGTACTCCAAATTTAGTCCAAACACAGTACAGATATTGTTTTGGTTTCCTTGTACTCCAAATTCATTCCAAACACAGTCCAGGAGTATAAACAAGTTTACAGATTCAGTCCAATTTCACTTGTGCAGGAAATTCACCTGTGCGGCGGCGGGGGGAAGGAGCAGCATCGGCAACCCTGACAGAGGAAGCCATGTTGCCATTTTGTTTGTTCCCAGCCTTGACTATGGTTGTCTTGCCGTTTTTTGTTCCCAGCCTTGACTATGGTTGTCCAGCGAGTCCGGCATGTCGTCATTTTCTTGTAAAGCAGTATTGTATCACACTTGTAGAGCTCGTTACACATGTAGATCTTGTAAAGTACTGTATTACACATGGTCATATGTATTGGCAACGTGATCTGGTTGCTCTTATTTGAAGTATCATGTGTGCTTTTGTCTGCCAAGTTAAATACTAGTTGAAATATGAAGAATATGAGCCTGATAGATGGGACTCACTTACCAGACCCAAACCTGACAACTGGGACCCATCTGACTGGTGGACCCATTTAATAAAAAAAGGAAATTATAATTATTTAGATGAAAAGGCCAAGGCCCAATAGTAAAAAAGGCTGCAATGTTGGGCCAGGCCCATGAAGTCGACCAAAAATTGACAGAAAAAAGTATAGAAAGGCTGAATTAATGGGCTAGGCCCATGTAGAAAACTGAATTGGACCGGGTTGAATCTTGTGCCACATCAGCTTGCCACGCTGGATGCCTACGTGGCCTGGGGAGGTTGCTAGTGACCAAAACGCCATAGTAGACGTATTTTGGTCATAAACATCTACGACCATTCCAGAAGAAAGGTCGCTATAGTCAGTTTACGACGGCCAGCTTTTGACCTTATGTTTTTGGTCACAAAAAGGTCACAAATGGAAATTTGTGACCATTCAGTGACCAATAGTGGTGGTCACAAGTTGACATATTTCTTGTAGTGCTAGAGGAGTTCCTCCACCAATACTTTCGCTTGACCAGCTCCCAGCAAACATGTAGAGCTGGATCTCCCCCTCTGGCAGGATCTGGCGCCCAGTCGCGACAGCAGGGCACAAGTGTGCACGCACGACATTGACAAAGGAGGGGACATCGCGCTCATAATGAGAAGGTTGCGGGCGTCGCGTTGCCAACAGAGGCATTGGATCCCCGTCCTTGAATGCAGTCGTTAGGAGCTTCGGTTGATCTGGCATTCGAGAGGAGCGGCTTCTCCGATCCAGGACAAAAGATGAACCTAATGATGTTAGGCGACGAGTGCTGGGGCGGATTAAGATTCGTTAGGGTGGTGGTACTGGAGTGGGTAAACCAGGGTCTGGATGAGGAGGCCATCGCGGTGTTGGGGAATGTTGCATGGGAAACAAAAAAAATTCCTATGCTCACCAAGAACAATCTAGGAGATGAACATCTATGAGAGGATAGATTTGATCTACATGCCCTTGTAGATCGCTAAGCGGAAGCGTTAAGAAACACGGTTGATGTAGTCGAACGTCTTCGCGATCCAATCCGATCTAGCACCGAATCGACGGCACCTCCGTGTTCAGCACACGTGCGGCTCGATGACGTCTCCTCCTTCTTGATCCATCAAGCAAGAGAGGAGAAGTAGATGGGATCTCAGCCAGCACGACGGCGTGGTGGAGATGATGGTGATGCAATTCCTGCAGGGCTTCGCCAAACGATGCCGGAACCAATCTGAGGAGAAAACGGGGTTTGGGGTGAGGTAGGGCTGCCGCCGGGGCATGGGATTTGGTGTGTCCAGCCCCTACCTCCCCCCACTATTTATAGGAGGCAAGGAGGAGGGTTGGGGCACAACTTTGGCCCCTCCTCCAAGGGAGGTGTTGCGGCTAGGCCTAGGGAGGAATCCTCCCTTCCTAAGGCACCTCGGGGGGTGCCTTCCACCCATAGGACTCTTCCTTTATCCTCTTTGTTGGCGCATGGGCCCTTAGGGCTGGTGCCCTTGGCCCATATAGGCCAAGGCGCACCCCCTACAGCCCATGTGGACCCCCGGGGAAGGTGG